ATTAATTTCGATTCACTAAAGACACAAAATGCAGATTTTGTTTGACTCTGTGATGGTTTCCACAAGCCTGCCTAGTACGCCGTTTGCAGTCACTGAATCCACAGAAATTAATGACTGGGTCAATGAATGTGATGTGTGTGGTTGTGGGCACACCCCACCAAACACCTTCCTGTGAAGGCAATAGGTGAGATGCACAGTGGATGCACAATTTTGATCACTGATTTGAAAGGTGTTGGCATCAAATCTATCTAGCTTACATTTATTCTTGCATTTGCAATTATATACTGCATTTTCTGCGTTCAACGTATGCATTCAGCAGTGATTAACTCAGATCTGCCGAGCATTTAACTCGCATAATTACCAAATTATCTAACTCATGGACCGCGGTGAACACACAATCCCACACACTTTGGAGGATGTTATGTTAATGCCCCTACACAGACGACCTTGGTTAATTTAATTATAAAATGCCTCACTGCACATCAGGAATGCTACATTTGCCTATTGTAAATTTCACATGAATGCCGTTATTCTTTATCTCTGAAAACCAGTGCATTGGTAATTTAACCAGATGGTTTTACTACCACAAGGTGCGTTTACAATTATTTTCGCAAATTTTTTCATCTAACATTGTCGTTTTGAAGGCACACGTCCGAATTAACGAAAAAGGAATCTCAAGATCACATTTGCACGCCCAATTTGAATCAGACGTGTCCAAAATGGAAGGCACGATTTCGCGGTTTGAAAGTTGTCATGAACGCAAAGGAAGGGAAGAGAGAGACAGCAGATTAGCGAATGGTTATTATTGATGGCTACCTTGCAAAGTAAATATGAGTGATATCGAAATGGCTTATCGTCTAAGTGAAAATCAATGAAACACCGGCAGGCAGATGTACTCTAAGTGATTAGGGCAATCGTAATGATCGTGTCCACAGCTGCATTTATCGGCGATTTTTAGCCAGACATTGAATTCTCACGACGGTATCAATGTGTGTGAAATGTACCCATTTTTGTGAAAATCAACAAATGGAACTACATTAATATGCACTGAATGTTGAGTCCTTCGAAGCTGAATGAAAAAAAAGGTAAATAATTCTGTCAAATACTGCATTTAAAAACCCTTATGGTAAGCCTGTCAAACTGCCGATTTATGGAGCCCCTACATTTCTGGCTAAATAAGCAGCATCTTTCGTATTATTCTGCCCTAAACAGCTAAGATTACGCGTTGAGTAGATTGCTGACTGACCGGTGACATATTCACATACTGATTTTGTTTTCAAGTAAATTGGACGGCTTGGATCTAAGTCGTAGTTACTATTAGTCACAGTGGCATGATGAACACTTAGAAAGTGTCCGACATGTAAACGTGTAAAGATTTTTGGTCGTAACTGTCCCATAATATTACAGACACCAGCGTGTTTTTCAATGTCAATGATGCTGTTGTTAATTTGTAAGAAAAAGTAGTTTTCAGCGTGTTAAGCATTTCCCTCCTCATCTCATTCACTAAACATTTATTTTACTGAGATGACAATCATCTGTGAGATCCTTCTTGCTACGAGACATACATGATTAGCACAATGACGATAAATAGAACTGTGAAATGCGGAAGGAGTCGGCACACATGTAAAATGCCATCTCTTCCATCGTCCGGGTAAATGTCAACAAATTCACACCAAACCTGTTTATTCAACTGACAAATCATGGGACTGAGAAGTTGGTAGTCACTGGAACAGTATATCGATTTAGATACACAAAACACCTTATTGCGAGACTCGTTAGTGAGTTATCGAGCCGAATTTACAAGAAATCTTCAGTTTAGTAAAATCTTTTTAGTATTTTAGTGAACGATTAGCTCTAGCTCCTACACTTAAAACTAGGCAATTTTTCTTCACTTCAGTTGCCAAAGCGTCGTAAAACACGCAGGCGATAATTGCAATCCACGCAAACCGTGTTCATTTTTCCCATTCGGGAATTGGTGGTGGTGCATCTCAAGCACACAAATTTTGGTGACCCATCGCATTCCATTTGGCAACAGGTAGCTCAATGTATTCATTCATCAATCTAGTGACTAGGGAATTTAATTGGTATGACGCGATTAGATATTTCGTTGAACGGCACGAAGTCGGCGTAACAAGCCATCGCCAAGTTCAGTTCCGTTGCAGTTGTGACAAAGCCATTTCTTGAGGTGCATGTTCAGGAATATCCGCATAGATAGCCATGGCTTCGTGCATTAAAGTTAGATGATTGAACAATTTAAAAGAGCTTGACTATTTAAATTGTCGCCTCATGGTTGTACTCGTCCACTTTGCTTCCTGCCTATTTTCAGGCACAATTGAGCAACAACTTAGAAAATCTATTGCAAATAGCTGTGCATATTTACAGGTGGGATTGTCGTTGTTCTAACACTGGTATACCCTACATTCTCTGATCGATTCTTTAAAGGAAATTAACTTACAATCATTTGTAAGTAAACAGATGTCTTGTGCTGCTTCAGTTCGGTTTGATGTATTTGATGATATCAAACATTAGCTTACTCGGCAAAGTGGGACTTATTAACGCCGGAAGCGTTAGTCGAGCATGTCCATCGACAAAACAGAAGTGGGTGAATCACGTCCTTTGATTTGCGCGTGTATTCTTGAGTGGAAGCAAGCAGGAATGGATAACTGACTTATGAATGCATTTTACATACGTTCACACATGCCAATGATTCAAGCCAAATACTCAAATTCAATGGATTCATGATTGAATAGTGAGGTTAGTGACAAACCATGCCACAAACAATATAATCAGCAGCAATAGCATCATCTTTACGTCACACAACTATGGTTCAAGAAAGATTTGCGAGAAAAGTATCATTTTCCAGATAATTCGATGGTATTCAGTGAGTTTTCAACAGTAATTTTTTAGGCAATGTAGGAAACATCTGTACAGCTGCACGTCAGTTTGCCAAAAAAACGCTAGCAAAACAGGTAGGCGATGATTGGCAGATTACGCTAATGACGTGTGTTCTGCATCATGTGAAGAGCAGCTTATGGAGCAGTTGAGCCACGTTTACGCAATTTGCAGCGTTCTGGTGGCACGTTACGAAACCATTCATCATAATAGACTCTGGCATTCCTCAATTTCTTAAAGTCTTACTATAGGAATCAGACCAAATTGTCCTGAGATGCCGAATTCTCGCTTGCATGAATTAGTCGTATATTTTGCAGTCTAGTTGATGACGTCTTCCGTCCAAAATGCCCATCTTAATAGGTAAGCTCTAATTCGGCGATTCTGTCACCTTCATACTAAACGACAGGCACATGTCATCACATTAGTTTTGATTCAATAAAGCCACAAGAGGCACCGATTTTGTTGGACTATGTGAGAGTTTCCACAAGCCTGCCTAGAGCGCAGTTTGCAGTTGCTCAGTGAATGACCACCTTGATTTGCCAAATGTAAGAGCGACGGGATTGTATTTTGCTTTCGGCCCGTTTCTTGATTATGAAGGTGCTTTCCTGCGCAAAGATAGTGCCTGGTTCATAGAAATTCGTCGTGGTTAATTAAGCAAAGCAATGCAATCTAGATTCAGTGTAATCAGAGTAGGTAAGTGCTCAGTGAAGTGATCTGCCTGGAGATGCACTAATTTGTTTACGTTCTAATTGAAGCTACTTGGACTTGTTTTCCGATATTTATTTTGATCGTCCCGAGCTTGAATTATTACGACTGGTATTTAGACTGACCACTGAAACAAACGAAGGATAATATAGGTCCCTCATAAACAACACGTGTCGCGATTCCCCGATTTTCAAGACCACAAACTAAGAATAGATTAATTGATCAAATTATCTCGACAATGGATATGGAAATTCATCACAATGTCAGAATGACTACCTATATATTGTCTGCAAATTCGCTCTTTTTAAGCTACGAATAAATGACAACAAAGCTACATTGCGAAACCTAATCATCACGCTCTTCTCCATAAAGGCATTAAAAAAGTGAAATCAGGGTATTTCAGATTGACGTCATGACTTGAGCCAGCCTCACACAAACCAGTATGAGATTTTAGGGAGCCAATGAAATATTTTATTACTGCGATATTACGTCTGTGTGTCAAAGAGTTAATTAGTGAATGCGAGGTATTTAAGCAGTTAATTCCAGCGATGATACATCACGCAATCTACATTACGAGGTTCAACAGAGGCAGTCAAACATGAGTCTCAAATTCGTGTGCGCTGTATTCGTGGTGATCTGCCTTCTTCCCAACTTCAACCAAGCCGACAGTACGTCCAATTCCATTTATCTCAATTTACCTGTTCTCTTTCTGAAGGTTTCACTACCGATCCGTATGTCGACAGTGAATCCACGGTGCCGTATTTAAATTTTACAAATATAACGATCCCAGATGTGGATGGGATTGGCACCGTCCATGTCACCAGCGTCGGGAGTGCCAATCTGTCCTGTCCGCTGACAAAAGACAAAACTGAGACACAAGGAAAGGAGAACCTGTCCGTGAGTACCTGTGTGAACCTGACGAGGGTTGACGTTGACATGCCGGACCTGGTGAGTTTTGCATTTCCTAAACACATTTTCAAAAAGCCACGAATGTTAAATTAAATTGGATTTGAAAATTGTTGTGCTGTCCACAAAAGTGACTGTCGTTCGGAAGTTCGTGATAATGACAGGCTAGGCAATAGTGCATTAGAGGCAAAGGAGATAAAGAAATGCATGCTGCCCTCAAACAGAGACCAACTTAGCAGAATGTGATAATTTAACACGTCTACTTCTGACTATCAAACACGAGTGAAAGTGGATTTGTGTTTGATTGTCATTGATTGAAGTCAAAGCCATTGGCTTGAAGACATGACTGCATATCTACTAGTTTTACTTGACATAGACAAATTTGTGTAGACATCCACTAAAGGACTGCAGCTGGATTGACATCAGATCACGGCACGATCTCATGTCAACCACAGTCTTCTTCACTGCTCAACTCTAGGCCTTTTCTTGAGGCATCTACTTTGCAGATTTTAGTAGGCAATTATCCATTCATTCTTGACCAAGTGTGCGACCTTGCAATGGAGATAAATCAAGATATCTTGGACTCGTGTCCACGAAACTCGTATCTTCACTGGTGCTGTTTTCAATATCGGTTACGCATTTGTGAAATTGTTCAAGACGAAACCAGTCATACGCATTTCATAAGTGATCAGCGTCAACGTGGACAACAATGAAAAACCAGTAGTTGGCTCTGTTCGATGGCATTAGGCCAAACGCCTTGCTCTTGTGCGTAGCAGCATCTACCGGCCAGCGTGAAACACAGATGAGAGCCATCAGTGCAGTTGGAAATTTTGTTAAAGCAAAAATAAACCAAAAAATTGGCTTGAAGCTGTTTTTACAAGTGGGCGAATAAATGTGCGATTACGGTGCAGCTGAAATGAAACATTCATGTTCACGTCTATTTGGTTTGATGTTTATGTGGCTCCTTTCAGAGGCTGAACACTACAATCGGTGTTGCAGCTTTCAACGTCTCCGTAAACGTGACGAAGGGTGAGACGGAGAACATTTCAGTGAAAGTACGCGTAGAACTTACTGACTGGAATGTCACCAGTATTGGCGGACCGGAGCTCTATGTCAACATTTCGTCAAAGAAATTGAAAAGCAAACACGCCATGCAAAAGGTTCTGCAAACTGAGGCCAGTTTGTTACTGAATAAGCCGAAATACGCAAACTGGCTTTACGATTTATTGTCCGGAATGTGGCCCAAACCAACTGAACCATCTACGACTTCTGACTTTATGTCAACTGATATTGACATGTTATAATTCTTTGCTGTAATGTTTCATCGATAATAAATAAACTACCATTTTTCGCTAATGCGCATATGCTGCATACAAGGTGAGTTGATGTTTCAGCTACAAGAGCGTTACATTAGGTGTTGGGTTCCGTTTTGGCATCACCATGTGGTACGTAACTAATGAGAAACAGTAGTAGGCTATGATGCATGTTCACTTCATGACAACAAGCCATGTAGCAAGGCACCCAGCACACAGTTGATCCAGCTGATACTCGCTGAAAGACGATAGACTTAGAGATCAACTGAAGGCTTTGTTCAACCTATTCCAGCAAAGGAAATTCAAAACGCGATAGGACGGTCGTGATTTTGTCAACTTTAATATACTACGTTTACTTAAATTCGTTGTCGACATTTGGTGCTTCTGTACAAATTGTGGAATCTGCGAAGTCGGTCTCGAAAGACGGCATTTCATTTTCTTCTTTGAAAAGCCATTTTAATAGACCAACAATTTTCCACATATTTGAATGTCTCAAACAAATTTAAAGAATATAATCGGCACCAGGCTCATTTCTATGTTTGTTCAATCAAAAATGCATTGTTAAAAGTTGGTATGTACAATTGTGGACACTCTGGACTAATGTTACATTTGAATTTTAAACGATGACTTGTCCGTCGAATTGATTACTCGTGTCAGCCGCTTTCAAACTACTCGCTAATCTGCTAGTCCCCCTATTTTAAATAGTTTGGTATGGCACCCTTTTTGGTAGCACATTGCTTTTAATGACACAGAACGTGTTGGACAATCTCTACTTCTTCATGCAAGCAAGCGGTTTTCAAGGATTCGACACAGTGCATTTGCTACACAGTTTGCGTTGTACAGGTCCCATGACATTCACGTTCACAGATAATAAAATGGGAATGAGATGTCGATTTCCACACTGATGTTAACCAAAACATACTCACAAAGTGGTTGTCATAGTTCCCCTCTTCGGCTATGAACACTCATATACCCCCTGCATCAGAAGCATCATCAGCCATTGACAGTAATAATTGCCAATTACTAGTGACAGGGTTACCATGGCTCGACGCCAAAATCTGAGGTCGCCACACGTATGTACATGCCGGTAGAGTTGGCAGAACGAGAAGAGGGCAGGCCTTCATGTGAAATCTCAAATCTAATGACATTTGGACGATCAAAACTGTGAAGTAAATTTCCTAGTTATTCGGTAGTTATAGATAACCATTTCTCATCTTGCCTTGCATTACAAAACACCACTAACAACGCATAACAAGATTTGCAAAACTGAAAACGCATAGTTTCACCACATCGACGGGGCCGAATTGACAGGCACCATACGTCTAGTGTTACCCAATTCTCGACTTTCCTCAACCGATCCTTCGCCTCAACGGCAATATTTCATAATATGGATCATTTATACTATGTCGAGTTGGTTTTCGGAGACATTAAGCCCTGACTATAATATTTTACTTCGGCAGGTCAGCACAGTTTTAATGACAAGGTTCAAAAGCCAGGTGA